TTTACTCGTTACTTGAAAAAAGTAATCGGATTACAGTAACGCGTTACTGCCCATCTCTGGTCCCAACACTGGTCATTTCTCTGTCTGACAAAACTCTCACTCACTTTTTCTCTGTGTGACTCAAGAGTGCCGCCCACGGGAGGAACATGAATATTCCAGCACGCTGAAGACATGAGCACAGCATCAGCACACAGAAAAACACTGTGTCCTGATTAAAAGTTAATTAACAGAACTAAGATAAAAAAGGTACATTCTTCCCTGCTGTGCCTCATGTGTGCTACATGCTCACGGTGGCTGTTTCGATCATTCGAAAGTTCTGTATTGAAGACAAATACTACCCCCGAAAAAGTGAGTACATTACTTACAAGATGGATTCATGTGATTGCTTTCAAAATCATAGGAACATGAAGGAATTACAGTTGTCAGAACATATATATCTATAAAATATGGCAATAGTGTTATCAAGGTCTTCTATAAGTTTGTTCTGATAATTATCTTGTTCTGTTCTGTAATCCTAAACAATTATAGTCTTTGCATGACTAATATATTATTCAGTGTTAAGTATCACTGTATAAAAAGTGACACATCATTTAAAAAACAAAAGAACCCAAAACCCGACATGAGGACATTTCCCTCGTGTCTCTCGGTCCATTGCTCCCTACTCATAGGTTAGTTTTCAAGTTTGATTTATTTTCATCTTTTCATTTTTTGTGTCAGCCTACTAAGCGGCTAGTCTTTGATTAAATTGACACTGCCTCAAAGCCTCTGCATTTGGGGCATCACAACCCTCACACTTCACACGTATGACATGCCCCTGTAGGAGTTTAGAGGTGTTTAGGAGTTTGTTCTTTATTGTGATTTTGTTGAGGCCATAGAAATCTATCTACCAAAGAAAAAACATCACCAATAGGAGAGGAAAGGGGCGGATTATACTGGAAGCAAGAGAGTGAGTGAAATATTTCTCCATAGCTGTGGGCAAAGGGCAACTGGAGAGATCTATGGAAAAAATATTAGGTAGGTGAGGAAGGGGAGAGGGCGAGATCTTTACTGAATACCTGAGTTGGGTTAGTTAGGTTAAAGTATGATCATAACCCCCTTTGAAACTTCTTTGGAAAAGACCATTGTCACCAGTAATATAACATTTCTTCACAGCATGCAAAGCAATGGGAACTGGGATGATGCTGAGTTCCTGGGCCACCTCAACAATAGAGGAAGTGATGTCAGCAATGAGTACCTCACTGGGCAGTGGTGGTGTCCTCTGGCTGCAGCTCTACATCTATAAAGACAGAGAGCTCACGCTGTCGTTGGTGCGCCGGGCCGAGAAGGCGGGCTATAAAGCCATCTTTGTTACCGTGGATACACCATACCTAGGGAAGAGATTGGATGATGTGCGCAACCGCTTTAAGATGCCCCCACACCTGAGGTAGGGAAACCAAAAGAACAGTACAGGCTGTGTAATTACACCACGTTCCTTTGTAGCATCCAACTCTGAACTCTTCTTTCTCTCCGTGTCTTTGTGCATGTGTGATTCCAGCATGGCTAACTTCTCAACAGCCTCCCTGGCTTTCTCCGAGGGAGACTACGGCAATGACAGTGGCCTGGCTGTTTATGTTGCAAACGCCATAGACCCTTCTATCTGTTGGGATGACATCACGTGGCTGAAAAAACACACACGCCTCCCTGTGATTGTAAAAGGAGTATTAAATGGTAGATGGACACACACACACACACAGTTACAGATCGGAGTGAGGAAAGAGAATCATGACAGTCTCACCATCTCACTCATATATCCACCATATTACCAAAACTGTTCACTCACCCATCCAGGTGTTCCAGCACTTCCATGGCCACATGGAATCAGGTACCTGGAGGCTCTCAGCTCAGTTTCCATGGCCAAGCAGCTGCATCTAAGTCTTACATGAGCAAGTGCAAAGTGCAGTGTTGTGGGGCACTCCGCCACTAGACTGTCGAACAGTGCAGACATGTCCTCTGAAGTGACCCGTCATGCTTGTCCATCTGGCAATTCCATGGACAAGTCTGGATGTGGTCAGGAGACTTGTCTGACTACACTGTGCCGACGTAAGATTCTGGTGTGGGGTTCTTTTTCAGGAGCTGGCTCAGCCCTGTAGTTACAGTGAAGGGAACGCGTGCTTCAGTATACCTAGAACATACCTAGAACTATGTGGGAACAGTGTGGGGATGGCCTCTTTGTGTTCCAACATGTCATCAACTCAGGACCATAGCTCCTACCCTCGTTTATAGAAAATAAAACGGTTTTTAGGTCTTACAGGTCTTAGCAAAAGATCTGACTCCTACAGCTTATTCAGATGCTGGAGCTGAATCAAAAATGTTGAGAACATTGGTCCTGTTTTCAAATCTATACATTAGCATCTGATGTCACAATGGATGTATTTTAAAACTCTTGTGCTAGTTTAAAAAGAACTAAATGGACTTGGACTGAATCAGCTTAATACTAAGGCATCCATTGTAACTTACACTATGTACTGAACTCGCAGTAACAGACCTTCAGAATATCCCCAATCAAGAAAAAAACAAAGAAAAATCATTTAGTCTTTTTTTGTCCTCAACTGTGGAACAAACTTTCTGAAAACCTGAAATCATCGAGTTTTATTTCGTTTAAATCAGCCCTAAAACGTTTTATTATTGGAAGTAGCTTATTAATGAACCACATCTGCAAACTGATTTGATTCCATTTTATTTCTAGTGGGTGGTCCCTCATGTTCACCTTTTTGTGGTCTAAAAGTTAGATGTCAGAGAGCAGACTAAGAGTTGTCTACAGAGGACTGGATCTTCTCTTAATAAACTGTTTTGACATTACTTTTACCAAAGTTGTTGCAGAAATAACCTCTAATCTCTGATAAATGTATATTACTGCAGATCTGCAAACACAGAAAACAACTCTTCCGATTAGAAGCAAAAAAGAAACAAGACTTTTCTATTTCTCTGATTAGTTTTGTACGGTTTATATCATGTATCTTTATACTCCTTTCTATCCCTCTGAGTTGGCTTGTCTGGATAGTTGTATACAAATAAATTTGACTTAAGATGCTTTTCAAGTAGACTTTAAAGCATCCAGTGCTGCACACATCAGTGGTTATATTTTGGCAGTATTAGGAAAATGAAAGTCGCAGACATTTGGTGAGGTACATACACACTGGCTCCTCACAGGTGTACTAGGAAAACAATGCTATCAAGAGTAACTGTATTCAAATACAGAATATGCTCATCACACAGAAACCCTGAGCTTATTTCTCTGATTTTGTGTGTCAGGTGAGGATGCTGCCAAGGCTGTGAACTGTGGTGTCAGTGGCATCCTGGTGTCCAATCA